ATCAAAACGGGTGTCACGAAAGCTAAGACCTGAGACCTAAGATCCTTCGAGAACCAACACCTCTCGGAAACTAGTACCCCTCTAAAACCTTTTGGCTACGGGATATTTCTAAAGATAGAATGAGAAGCCAAGGTGATCTTTACAACCTGGAGGAGTTACAATTTGGAGATCGTGAATTTTACTTGAGGTGTTTACATGTTGGTTACTGAGCTTCAAAATTAAACGTTGAATCTAGATAAGTAAACTTTTTACTACTAAATTTACACTCTATTTAATTCAGAAAGAAAAAGTGAGCTTTCTGGCAGTTTTTAAGTTGGTAATCAATACTCATATACGTCGCACCTTGCCCAACGTTCCGCATGTTTGCCGCATGCTAGAAACTTCTGATCGCTTCGAAATCCGGTGAAACTTTCTCCACACGGAAATCATTCGTTAAACACTCGTTTGACTACGACCTTATTACTTGTGATTATTTAAAGCGATCACGCTAGCAAGCTGGTGGTCAAGCCCGAGGCAATTTTTAAGTGGGTGATAAATATTCATATATGTCGTGCAGTGCCCAACGTTCCGCATGGTTGCCGCATACATGAACAATCGCTTTCGAAATCCGGTGAAACTTTCTCCACACGGAAATGGTTAAAAACTTGTTTGACTAAGACCTTATTACATTTGATTATTAAAAGCGATCACGCTTTTGTGAAAGAAGTCGACCAAACTTAGAGTGTCATGCATATGGAGCAACTTAAAAGAAATCAAACACTTGGTAAGAGTATCGAGCAGAAGTCATTAATGGAAAGTTCCAGTGAAGCGAAACAAAGAATTCCGGCCTGTGTGTATATTTTCACTTTCTTCGCTGCCATTGGAGGCTTTGAGATAGGATACAACTTCTCGGTCGTTTCTGGAACAATGATCCTTGTAAAAGAAGAGCTTCATTTGTCGACATTTTGGCAAGTGCTCATCGTGAGCGTAGCAATTGGTACAGCGATAATGGGAGCTTTGCTAGGAGGTTTTGTGAATCAACGATGTGGGAGGAAACCCATGCTTTTAGTTTGTGCTATGGTACTAACGGTAGGAGCCGTGGTGGAGGCAATTGCTACACCAATGTAGATATGCAATATTTGCAATATTTGCATATTTGCATATTTGCATATTTGCAAATACGCAAATAGCTGGAAATAAGTTCCGTGAACTTACCGAACTTATTTCCATCTATTTAGACAAAATTATGGCACATATCGTCAAAACTTTACCGTCTTACATTAAGGACAGCCAACACGCACTTGAAATTTTTCGTGACTTTAGTTTCCTCGATCAAAACAAACTTATTTTCACTATGGATATAACATCTCTTTATACTCTCATTCCCAATGACGAAGGTCTCCGGGCCCTCAAACATTTTTTCGATCATCGCACTGCTAAGGAACCTAGCTCTGAAACACTACTCCGTCTGGCCGAACTGGTACTCACACTCAATTGCTTTTTATTCGGTGGTAACTACTACAAACAAACTAATGGCGTGGCCATGGGTACTAAAAT